AGTCATTCTGTTGTTGATCTGCTGTAGTGTTTGGGATCATTATCATGTTGATGGACAATTATAGGCCATTCATGGAATCACATTGAAATTGAGATGATATTTTTTTTATGTTCACCATGTTGGGATATATTATCATATATATATATATATATGATAATATATATGAAAAGGTTTGCATTTAAATTTACCAGTGCCTATTTAACCAAAAATAGTCTAAATATGCCTTTTATATGTGGATGTATCCTGTGTTTTCTTTTGAAGATTTGAAGATAAATTGTGCAGAGGTTGTTAGGGTTGTTAAGTTTCCCCAACCTTAAGCTTTAAAAAATGGAAACAAAGACAGTGTAAGATTTTTCCTGAAATGCTTTGCAAAAGGGAGTACAGGGTTAAACAGTCAACCTCTGCATCTCCGCTTGGCTCAACACTTGCCAGGATTTTTATTGAGCAGTCAGCACATTAAAACAGCAGGTGTTAGTGTCGATTACGCAGTCTCTTACTGTAGACATAGCATGAACTTTTAGGATAGGAAACTTGTGTGGTTTCAGTATACGCTTTATACGTGATTTTCACTTCTCTGCTTCTCAAATGAAAAAGAGGAAATCATTCTTGCAAAACATTTGACTTTCTTATGACCTTCATACAATATTTCCAATAATGAGAGTAACTTATAGAAAAACAAATGATTGAGAGCAATATAACATATCAATGAATAAAATAATAAAAACAACAGAAATCATAATAACTCAAACGGAGGTAAACAGAGGTAAAACCCACTCTTATTTTTTTTATCTAATATGTTCTCTCTGTATTATGCAAAATAATACATTGAAAGGACGGTAAATAAATGTATTCTATTTACATGAGCACTGAAACTATAAGAGGAACTGACACTGAGCATTTAAAATATTAACTTCACTATACAAGTTTTACATACAGCCTGTAGTTACTCTGTGTAGCCCATTTCATGTATTTTATCTAGGGCTGAAACAATTTATCATATTAATCGATTATTTAAATAATCGTCAACTGATTTAGTAAATGATTAATCGTTAACTGGTGTAGAGGGCCACTTTAGCCGACAGAGGAACCCACTTAGAGCAGGAATTATACCTAGATTGTAAAAAAATATGTAAACATTTTGCATTTAAGACAAAAAAAATGTTTTGTCTGTCAATATTCTCCATTCAGAACTCCTTAAGAGGAAATGTTTCTGTTTCACCTGGTTTCATTTCGTAAAAAGTCTACTTTAAGGAACCTTTGGCTTCGACAGATTAATCACTTTGCAAAATAATCATTAGTTGCTGCCCTAATTTTATGATAACATTCAAAACACATTTCTTCCATCATACAGCACTGAAGGGCAGCTGCTTCACACTGAGGCTGCCCTGCATCATTGTATCTGGGTTTCCTACAATCATATAATGTTTTTATTATACAAGTGGGTTTTTAATAGTAAAGGATTAAATGTAACAAAACTTTTTATCATCATCCTATCTTGCTTACTGTCTGACTGCTTAAATTGCTCCCTAGGTCTATTTTCTTTTTTATTGACATTATCTACAAAGCACAACACTAAGAATGAGCCTAGGTTTATTCAAATGTAAAATCACTTTTAACAATTATAAAAGACAACATAACACTATCTTATCTGTAATGTAATAGTATCCAAAATAAACAGCCAGGTTCAAGCATTATTTACCAGACATTAATGTTTGTACTTATTTACTTATGGACCGTGTGGAAATCTAGAAAAATAGAATCAGTGTAAATAGAGTTCCTCTGTTTGTCTTTATCCTATTTCTAGAAGAAGAAGTCAATTAAATAAAACTATTTTAATGTGGAAAATAAAAAACAGCAGATCTTTAGCATCCTTCTTGTGTTGTTATGTTCTACAAAATAAATAACAGCTGTTATTTATACCTGAACTGCCGTCAAAAAACAGAAAACATTAATAGCAAAGCAATAATGGTAAAGGGAATCAGAAATGTTGATAGCTTACAGTCTTTGCTCATTTTAACAGTTTTCAGAACCCCTGTCTGACTAAGAATATTTTGTTTTAGAAAAGAAATCTTAATGTTGGTTACTTTCATTTCTTAAGTTCCACAAATCCAAACTCTCTCCTGCTTCTTTACAGAGCTGCAATCAGAAGCTTTCGCCTGTTTTAGCATAAATAATATTTAGTTTTTTCATTCGGACTAGTTTCATAGCCTAATATTAATTTTGGTAACCGCGTTTTTTTTTGTTTTTTTTTGTGCTCCAAGCATGCGCACACATACAGACTAGAAAACAAGTAATCGGAGAGAGAGAAGAATGAACCTAAGGCAGAAAAAAGCAAAGCCGCTGTTCCTCCCGTATTGCTGAGCTTCGACTTATCCGCTGAGCTTTAGGAGAGCATGGGCGATATTATCATTAAATTAATTAGAGCAAAACATGCAGAAATTAAGGCTTAATTTAATATGATATATTTAAATAATCCCCATCAGCATCCAGCATATGTGCGGTTTCTGATGGAGAGGAGAAATCTGCTTCCTTGTTTGTTGAAGGACCAATAGTTTACATCCAATCTTTTAAATAAACAGTGTTAGTTTTTCAAATGTATAAGAATTATGTTCTAAGTTGTAATTATGGATATGTTATTATTATTTTTTAATTTGACAAACCGGATCTTCTCGTAGTTCTTTTTCCTGTTTGGTGCGATTGCAATAGCGGATCATCTTGACCATCTTGACCTGGCCGGACCGGAGCAAAGCCTGAACATTTAGAGTATGTTTGACTCATCCTGCTGCTGTGAAGCATTCAAACCCAGGTTTAAAGTCTTGCAGGGCAGCATAAAGCCCACTGCTCTCATTAAGACGGAAAAAACAAACAAACGGTGCATTCAGATGTTTTATAAAATATGTGAATCAGGAAATTGTATATATACCAAACTGAACGATTGTTGTTCTCTAACAAAAACCACTTTAGATTTTAAAATGGAAAAAATTTTCTATTTTTTTCTATATTTTTTTATTTAAAACTTCAATGTATAACATGAATGCATAGACACCTCATTTTATTTCAGTGTTCAATTCTGTTTAAAGTAACAGATCATTAAAAAATGAAAAAAGGACCTTTACTGGTTGATGATTTCCTTTATTTTATACGATCATTGGTGCCATCCACATCTAGTGAAAACGAGAGTAATTGGATAATTCATATAACACAAACACTAAAGGAAATTATCAGAAGCAAGCAGGTGTTCTTCAAACTGCTAACGTGAATTGTCTATGCCATGCTAGAATGTAGGATTCAGAAAAAGATGTTTGAAATGTCTGAAAGGTCAGACACAGGCGAGAGAGTATCAGGAGATGGAGACGGAGACCAAAAAGACCTCCCTCATCCTTGGTGCTATCTCAAAGATTTTTATTTATTTTTTTGTCGAAAAATTGAGCTTTCAATTCATATAGTGGCATCTGACAGTATTTTTTTAAAGGTTACTTTATACTTTTATACTTTAATTAGTTTTTGGAGCACATACTTTCCACTTTTACTTGAGGCCAAGCTGATACTTCAACTTTTACCAGAGTGTTTTTAAACTGCAGTATCTATACTTCTACTTAAGTAACAAATGTGAGTTATTTTGACACCACTGATAGAAAGACATGACAAAAATAGTACGTTGTTATAAACTACTTGAAAAATGTTTTAACAAGCCTAAGAATACCAAACAAAGTTAGAAAATACTCTTCTCCCACAGAATGGTAATAAAATATTATGACAGTTAAGGTGGTAGGAGTTAAAAAGAATAGACAGGACAGACTAAATAAATAACAAGTATCTTACCTGCCATTATGAAGAGAAGCTCAAAAAGGTGCAGACTGTGTAGTTAGTTTTTAAAATGTTAGTCCTTGATCTGTTGCTCTTTCAACTAATAGGTGCTAAACAGTTTCACTTTTGTTTTTGCGTTCATAGCCACTTCCTTTAACCAAATGTGTTTCCACAGCTACTTTGGGTTTTTAGGCGGAGATGTCTCTTACAGACCAAAAAAGAACATGTAGTTGTTCTGGCATATATTTGACAGGTTTGTGGTCAGCTTGGTTTAAGATAAAATTGGTCTAATTACTGCTATCACTAATGATAGGTAGATGAAGGCTCATAAGGCGTCCCGCCAGATTTCCCTAAACTGTACAGTATTGATAGGGTCTTGGTCATAGACGTATTTATAAATAGACCCCGCATTGACCTGTATTGCCAATTGAAGTTCACAACACAAATTAAGGTTTCATACAAATATTTTGCATAAAACAGAACACTCAAATGTTTAAGATTTTTTTTTATTTATTACATTATAAATACCACACACACAAACAGAGAAAGTTATAATAGAAAAAAGGTGATACAATGACAGACAAATACGTGCAAGAAGCAAGAAAAAAAAAGGTTTTATCCACGTGCATATCTAGGATTCCAGGAGATCAGGGGCTTAGCCCAGGAGGCAATCGAATCAGATGCCCGAGCCACCTCAGCTGGCTCCTTTCCACTTGGAGGAGCAGCGATTCTACTCTGAGCTCCTCCCGGGTAACTGAGCACCTCACCCAATCTCGAAGAATGCGGCCAGCCACCCTGCGAAGGAAACTCATTCGGTCACTTGTATTCGTGATATTGTTCTTTTGGTCATTACCCAGATCTCATGACCATAGGTGAGGGTGGGAATGTAGATTGATCGGTAAATCAGCTCCCTCTTCACCACGACTGTCATGATCTTGGCACCATTGGCTGGGTTTTACTCCTTCTCCTTTGCTCCTCCCCAGCCTAATCATCTCTTATCAGATCCATCTATTTCTCCTGCTATTGATGCCACTGGTGCCCTGCCCATGGTGCCAGATTAATCAAGCTGTTCGGTGAGAGTAACTCTACCGTTCTGATTATTGTTCTGATTCTCTGATTGTGACCTTTTTCTGTCTTGTGGATCCTGAGTTTTTGCTTTACTCCCGCCTGCTATTTTCATCTGCTCTGTTCTGGACTGATTCCTGGATTCTTCTGGCTTACAGAACCTGGACTTTTCTTCTAAACTCGGCTTGGATTCCCCTTCTGTACCTCTCTGATATTCTGATCTATGAACTTGGTTCTGCTACTACTTTGGCTTCACGACACTGCTGCTTCTCGGCGTCAGCTGGTATAAGCCCTGCTCGTCTGTCAGCGCTCAGGGGGTGGCGCCCGTCACAAGCGGAGGACAGTCGCCCTCTCGTATTCTTCGCTTTCCTCTGGGAACAGACTGAACTGTTAACCAGGTCAGTGACCAGTGCTCTTAGTAGTTATCAGCCCGTTATTCTTAGTTACTGACCTGAGTTCTCTATTCCTACAGAAGATCCGCTCCAGCTGATGAATAGCCGCACACCCTTTTAAAATAAAGACCGTTTAAACTCATTGATCTGTCGGTATTGAATATTGGATCAAAGGTTTCAAGCTTTTGACAGAATAATCTGGCCACATTATGAATCCATCAGCAGACAGATAATGGAGCGAGGGCATATATCATAACATTTCTCTGCTTGAATCTGGTGTTGACTGAGATTCTCACTCACCTGCGCAAACAGACTTCAGCTGCCTCTGATCTTTCCCACATAGCCACGCCCGTATCCACGCCTCCACCTGCTGTCTCTGCCTGTCATGAACCACATCTGTCTACACCAGAACTGTATAGGGGCGATCCGGAGCAGTGCAGAGCTTTTTTAACCCAGTGTGAAATCCTCTTTGAGCTGCAGCCCTCCATGTTTCCTTCTGATCGAGTTATGGGGGACGTCGGAGTGGCAGAATAACTCATTCCTGTGTGGCTCATATGAGGGTTTTTCTGGGGAACTAATTTGAGTTTTCAGTCCTGTTCTTCCCTGCAGAGAGGCTTCTAGGGGACTCTTGACTTTAAAGCAGGGGAATTGGTCAGTTTCTGAGTACATTATTGATTTCCACCTGCTGGCTGCTGAAACCCCCTGGAATGAGGAGGCTGTCATGGATGTGTTCAGCACTTGA